CAGCTAGATCCTGATTGCATCTTAATTTTATTATCATACTCTTAAATTTCTCAAATCAGATTTTTCATAAAAATACTTTTGTAAAAATTGAAAATAGTTAATGAATTTAAGAATTTCTAGACGGATATTACTTGAATGCTTTTTTTAAAAATTCAAAGCTGATCCTAACATAGCAAATGAGAGGTCGCATTAGCAATTGTGTGCTGAACTGGTTTTATAACTTTATACCCAGTTGATTTTTAAATGGAGGAAAATGTAAATGATCTCAAGTACCAGCCACTGGAAGTACTCTTCTCTTGAGAATAAAAGAATACTGTGGAATAAATCCAAAACCCTCTAAGTGCAGTTGAGAGGCTTGACTGTAATTTTTGAAATGCTTATGATTCTGGAGAGCTAACGATTCCTTTGGCTTCAAGGAGGGAGCGATCATGAGTCCACAGTAGAAGAAATGCGGCATCCGATCACTTTGCTAGATTTGAGGAACAGCAGACCTCAGAGAAAAATGCATTTTTAACTTGCCAGAGAGAAATTTCATTGGTTGTGAGAACAGGGAGAAAGAACACCATGCTCCATAGTTTGTTTCAACACGTCCGTGGCCCCTGAGTGGCGTCAAACCATCACCCTTTTTGGTTAGTAGGCAAGTGCTTAACTATTTGTACTGTCAAGAGACCTGGTGTCAGGAACAAGAGCATAAAAATTCGACATCTCATCAATGAAGATATCTTTTAATAAATTTTAAAGAAACAGGAAATATGTGTGGTCAAGATTAGATGATTTCCTACTCTATATGTGGTAGGATAAGAATGATTTTATAAAGGCCTTGCGATTGGTTTGGGAAACTGCTCGACTCACATATCTTCCCTTCTCCTTCTGAACACCATCACCTGGCAGACCTTTTGGCTGATACAGCTGCCAAGAGGAAATACACTCAATGAACTTTTAAAAGAATGATTTCTCAATAAAGTAACATTGAATCCCACTCACAGATGTACTTTTTGGCTGATTTTTGCTCAGAGTAACAATTCTCATTAAGAGAGGAATCTCATTTTAATAGATAATTCAATATGAAAAATAATTAACAGAATGAATTTTCTAATAGTCTTTCCTGACTCTTAGATAAACAGCCAAGCCAATGTGGAGACTAAGAATCATCTGTTTTGTGTTTCTTTAATTGCTACCTATGCTTATAACCCCCACAGTATCTCACTGAAGCCTTACACTTGGGATTCTGGGGGAAAATAAAAGAAAAAAAAGTCTTATTATAAGAATGTTTCCATCAAAGTCATATAAATTTCAGATGATGTAGTCGAATTGGAGCCCTAAAATCAGAATGTCACAACAGGGCAGTCTACTAATTGATCAATGAAGAAAATAAAGCCCCCAAGCCTTCAGACACAAATTGTGAGCTATGTAGACATCTATGGTCTATCTAGAAAAAAGACTTATAGTCTGACTTTTCCTTTGAGAAAATGTAATGTGTACAAGATGCTTTTTGCCAGTCCTACTGCCTTTAATGAGACTGTGTGTACCAAGAACTCTTGTAGAATAATTATAGCAATATCATGCATGCAGCTCTTTTACTGTCATTCTTTAACCCCAAAGAAATCTCTAGCTATTGAAATAAAGCTGGCCTTTGATCTCTTTTATAAGTGGGTTTTATGAGCTTTAAAAAGTAGGTCACTTGCTGAATTCCATTAAACTACATTTTATAGTGATCATGACTGTTTGGCCAAAAAATAACCCAGCACACTTTTTTTTTTCCTTCTTGAACTAATTATTAATGTAACGGAGGTTCTTGGAGACAAACGCTACTGTTTTCATGGTGGTAGATTTTCTGTGTGGCTGTTAGGAAATTCTGTTTTCATTGCTCCTTCATATACTTTCATTTCTGCCTGGCCCAGGGGAAATCACATTTTTGTTAAGTGGGAAAAGATGGAGCAGTTTGTCGGCTAATTTCTACTCAGACCTCCTTCTGTACAGCAGGCAGAGATTTTAATTGTTTGATCCAATTGATGGAATTTGTCAAGACTTGACTCATCATTAGCCTTGAAGTTGCTCAGAGTAGCCCTCTGGTGGGGGGTCTGGATGTCCTTCAGACAGCAAACTGAATGTTGGTCATTCCCTGTTCCCTAAAGCTTAGAATTGTTCGTGCATACCTTGGAGCTGAGGCAGCAAAGGGAAGTCATCTTGCCATTGATTCCTTCTGGGTGGCAGTGTTGTCTTTGGGGCCTCACAGAGGTGACGACTTCCCCAGCGCACTGAAGCTTCTTGTCACCGGAGAACAATGTACTTTGATGTGACAGAATTTCACAGATGCTTGCTTCTTTTTGCCTTGCATTGTTCTACATACTTAAAAAAAAAGTTTCTCTCATCCTTTCTTGTTATTACTGAGAAATTAATCCTAAATGTTTCCTACTTCTCTAGCTCTGTCGCCAAATGAAGAGCTGACACAGTAAGAAAATGGTGGTATGGAGAAAGGGCACAATAGTCGGAGCCTTGCATACTGTCTTTACTTATCCCCGTGTTGTCTCACCCCCTCCACACCCAAACTCCTGCCAGTGAATTCTGTTGTTCTCATCATTGCTGTGAGGGGCCATTGAGTGGGTTCTGATTGAGAACAGCCCTAAATACAATGGAAGGAAATGCTGCCTGTCCCTGCACGGCCCTCCGATGGTTCCCATGTTTGAGCCTATTGTTGCAGGCACGCTGTGAATCCATCACCTTGATCTTCCTCTTTTGTTCCTGACTCTCCACGTGTAAATGCTGGTCGTTAGAGATGTGAGTCAACATCTCCTAAGTCCAGTATACACTGTTGCTGAATTGATTCTGACTAACAGTGTAGAACTTCACCTAAAGGGTTCCCGAGCCTGTCGTGTGCTTGGAAGCAACACAAAGGCTCTTTAAACACACAGTAGTTCTAGTTACCTGGCTGGTTCTCGGGAGTTTCAAGACCACCCTGAATCCAGGAGAACTGTTGGTTGCTTTATGCACATTTGCACAAAATTAATCAATACATGCTCACTTACATGAGGAGAATAGGCAGTTCTACCTTATTTTAAATGTATAAAAGAGTTTGCTGACATTTGTTTGGTCAGTCTTTGTTGTGGGAAGCTAGCCTATGTACTGTTAGTTGATTAGCACTGTCTCCAACCTCCACTCACTAGCTGCCAGTAGACTCCCCGCTGTGACAACCGAAAATGCCTCTAAACATTGCCTGTTGTCCCCTGGAGGGCAACATGGCTGTACATTGGGATTTTGTAAGCCATAACATTAAATCACTTGGATGTGAGGTTGTTGTGACTTTAGTACTACTTGATTACATTCATAATAGTAATTTATCTGCATATATTTTGTTTCATTTATTAAACCCTGATTTCTTAAAAGCATCTTTGCAAAGAATTCCATTTTTTTAACTTCCTTATTGATTAATGGAAAAGACGATGGCCCTTGATGAGGTGGATGGACACAGTGGCTGTAGCTCTGGGCTCAGACATAAGAACACTTGTGAGCAGCGCGCCGGGCCGGGCAGTGCTTCTCCTGCTGCACACAGCAGCACTCTGAGTAGGAGTCAACTTGACAGCACCTAACAGCAACAATATTGATGAATAGTGGCATAGTGGTTTACATATTCGGTGCTAACTACGAGGTCAGCAGTTCAAAACCACCAGCCACTCCGTGGGAGAATAGCGAGACTTTCTACTTTCATAAAGAGTTACAGAATCAGAAATCCACAGGGCGGTTCTACCCTGTCCGATATTGTCATTATGAGTCATAAATGACTATGGCCATGACAGCCAACACTGAATTGCAGGGTCCTTCACAAAAGTTGTAGAAAAATATAAGCCTTGTTCTTTGTCTAACCTTATATAGGCATCTGTATAATTATTGTGCCCCACTCTGAGGTTTCATTTCCATGGTCTACAAAATTACTAATTTGAATTATTTTTTTATAAATCATTTTATTGGGGGCTCATACAACTCTTATCACAATCCATCCATCCATCCATTGTGTCAAGCACACTTGTGCATTTGTTGCCATCATCATTCTCAAAACATTTTCTTTCTATTTGAGCCCTTGGTATCAGCTCCTCATTTTTTCCCTACCCTATCCCACCCTCCCTCACGAACCTTTGATAATTTATAAATTATTATTTTTCCATGTCTTACACTGTCTGATGTCTCCCTTCACCCACTTTTCTGTTGTCCGTCCCCCAGGGAGGGGGTTATATATAGATCATTGTGATCCATTCCCCTATTCTCCCCCACCTTCCCCTTCCCCTCCTGGTATCTCTACTCTCTTTATTGGTCCTGAGGGGTTTATATATCCTGGATTCCCTGTGTTTCCAGCTCTGATCTGTACCAGTGTACAGCCTTTGGTCTAGCCAGATTTGTAAGGTACAATTGTGATCATGATAGTGGGGGGGGGGGGTGTGTGGCAGGGCCGGGGGAAGCATTAAAGAACTAGAGGAAAGTTGTATGTTTCATCTGTGCTACACTACACCCTGACTGGCTCGTTTCCTCCCTGTGACCCTTCTGTAAGGGGATGTTCAGTTGCCTACAGATGGGCTTTGGATCTCCACTCCACACTCCCCCTCATTCGCAATGATATGATTTTTTTGTTCTTCGATGCTGGATAACTGATCCTATCAACAGCTCATGATCACACAGGCTGGTCTGCTTCTTCCAAGTGGGTTTCGTTGCTTCTCAGCTAGATGGCTGCTTGTTTATCTTCAAGCCTTTAAGACCCCACATGCTATATCTTTTGATAGCCAGGCACCATCAGCTTTCTTCACCACATTTGTTTATGCACCCGCTTTGTCTTCAGTGATCATGTTGGGAAGGTGAGCATCATGAAATGTCACTTTAATAGAACAAAATGTTCTTGCATTGACGGAGTA